GGCCAAAAAACCAAAACATAAAACAGAAGCAATATTGTAACAAATTCAATAAAGACTTTAAAATGGTCCACATCAACAACAACAACCATCTTTAAACACAAAATCACTCTCTGTTCTGATGCCCTGCGTCAGAACAAGGTTCTGTTCCGAGCCTGGCAGAGGGGCTGGCTTCTCCCTGCGCGCTCTGTGGTCCTGCCTCCGATCACAAATTTGAATTTAGAACTTGTTCCTGCTTCAGGACCCAGCCCCTCACTTCCACGTTCTGTCCCTCTGGGCAACTTACTTGACCTTTCTGAGCTTCTGCGTTCTCGACTACTACGTGGGGAAGTACTCCGACTTTCCAGACAGCTCTTAAGTGCAGTTATTAAACTGTCCTATCCACTAATACCAAAACCTCAGAGCCTTACCCTGTTTAAACATCTCTTCCCCCATGTCTGCCTGCCCTAGGCTGAGACCCCCATTCGGGGGAAGGGCGGTGCTCGTCAGTATCATTCCTCTTTCCTCCTCCCTCTAGGCTGCCTCTGAATCCTCCAGGGCTGGGTGGGAAGAGAGGGACCCCTGTGAGGACAGAAGGAGCAGAAACTGTCCCATTCTCTAGAGCTGCCATCCAGCATTGGGGGCCCTGAGGATATGGCAGGTGTCTAAATACTCACCCTTTTCCTCGTGGAGCTCTTTTGGGAGAAATATGTCCACTGGGGACCTCTGGCTGCAGTCCCCTAACTTGACTGATGTCACCTCTGGCTTGTGGCTTACGATGTCCCCTTGGCCCCCGCATCCAGCTGACCATCCCAGGACACACCTGGGCCCACGGCCAGACACTCGTGGCTGGCTTCCTGCCCTGCCTTATCCACGTGGCTCTCATTCCACTCCCCTGGGCCACTCCTATACCCTGAAATGCCCAAGGCCGAGCTCTTTAAATGGTACTAGGGAAGCCCGCGGCCCCCTCACCTGCCCTGCCGACCCCGTCGGAAGGGCACAGGACGCCCCAGCACTGCAGAGAATCCCACCTCCGTCCCATCAACCTCCCTGCAATTCTTTTCTACCCTCCCTGGGAGTGAAGGGCCAGGGCCTTTAGACTGATTTAGGGGCTGCACCTTGGCAGTTCTTCATAGATTCTCTCTCTTCATTGTTCAGAATCTGTAGCCACTTAATATCATTTGTTCTCAACTTTGGAGGCTCAGCCAAAGTTTAGGTAACAAGAAAAATGCCATTTAAGTTCCTACGGGGTGAGCCATTACTTTTATTGTTCCTGAGCACAATGAATCCCCCCACTTAGACTTGCAGGACCCTGAGCACCTATCCCTTCTGTGACCCTTGCCCCAGGGCAGCCTGCTTTGTGCTGTGTGTTTGTCCCCCTCCAGACCATGAGCTGCTGGAGGGCAGGCCCGTGCCTCCTTCCCCTGTGTCCTCAACACCCAGGGCCTCGCAGGCAACCAGGACACCTCTGTTCAATGAACAAAGGGTTGAATATCTTAAATAATACTGTTCATTGAACAATCAGGTGCCAGGTCTCACTTACACGGAAGAAACGGCCTACAGGTGCTGTAAAGTGTAAAAATAAATGGGTATGACTGTACGTCCAAAAGTGCCGTAACAATAATGGACACAATCATTACAACAAATAACACTGATTGACCTAGTCGATTTGCTCCAGTTCACATACCTATGTATTCAGTCTTCACAATGAGTAAGATGGGTATGACCATTTTCCCATTTTACAGATGAGGAAACTGAGGTACACAGGGCTTAAGTGTGAGCTAAAGATTCTAGAAATTATACAACCAAGAGTTAAGAGTTTTAAGAAGCGTTCAGAGATGTAAGGGATGGTCTGTCTTGAAAATGTTCAGAAAGGTCTTCTTGGAAGAGGTGCCACGACATGTGAGCCTTAAAGAGTGTGATTCCCATAGGTGGACATGGGGAACGAAGGCCTGCCAGGTGGACCAACAAGAACCCAGGTGTCCTACTGTTGAAGGAAGGATAGCAGATGGCGTGTGCTCCAGAACCAGCCAGGGACTCTGTATTGACCAGATGTGAGGGGTACGCGATCTAAAGGGGATTCGGAGCTTGGAGTCTGTCGAGGCAACAGGGAGTCACTGAGGATGCTGAGTGCCCGGAGCTGTTTTCCAGAAGGTTAATCTGACAGTGCATGTTTCCTGGACTGACAGACAGAGACTGGAGAAGCCAAACTACTCAGGAGATTCCCTAATTATTCAGCACCGATTCATGGAACAGCCAGAGCTAGAAGAAAACTCAGAAGTCACTGTTACAGGACTTCCCTGGTGGTCCAGTGGCTAAGGCTCCACGTTCCCAATGCCAGGGGCCCGGGTCCGACCCCTGGTCAGAGGACTGGACCCCACATGCCGCAACTAAGGGTTCACGTGCCACAACTAAAAATGCTGCATGCCGCAACTAAGACCCAGCACAGCCAAATAAATAAATAAATTTATTTTTTTAAAAAAAGAAGAAAAGAAAAGAAACCATTGTTATAACTGCACCTTGCACACCAGACCGAGTTCTCTGAGGGAGCAGGCAGGGTGATGCCTGACTGCTTTTCCCAGAGCAGAACCTCCTGGTCAGGAGGTGGGCAGTAGGTTTGTTCAACAAGTAGATTTGTTCAACAGTAGGTTTGTTCAACAAGTGAATTAATAGGAGAATGAACAAACCAATGAGTGACACCTTCTATCCCAGAGCAGGAACTTGGACTTAGGGCTGATTAAGGGATGAAGACAGGAGCAGGAAACATTGTCAGGGAAGGCTGGACGGAACTGCAGGGTGCTTGGCTGTATCCAGAAGCTCTCTCGACTGGGAGCTTTACTTCTCTCTGGGCCTCAGTGCCCCCTTCTATCCAGCAGTGGGTGGGAGAGGAGGATTGGCCCAGGTGACCTCCAAGGTCCTTCCTGCCTCCACTCTTCTGGGAATTGAGGAGAACCCAGCTCCCCTGCTCTCCAGCCCTGTGCTTTCCTTTGATGCTAAATGGGGCCAGGAAGAGTGACGACTCCACTGGCAACCAGAGCCCTGCAAGTCGGCAGCGACTCCTGCACCTGCCCCCACAGGCAGCCCAACCCAGGTTATTCTGGGCTGGCTTCACGGCACCAGCCTCTCTGTCTTCTCCCATACCAGGCTTTTATGAAAGTCCCTAACGAGCCCCGTGCTCTTATGCATTTTAGAAATCTCATCTAATAGGGGCTCATGGAGTATAAATTAACCCCGAGGAGCAGAGCTGCATTAATCCCTGTGGTGATTATGCATTAGCCGAACAATTTCTTTGCCTATTTTAAGCAGCCGAACCCAGGCTGTCTGGGGTGCTTTTCTCCTCTGTCTCTGTTGCCAGCCATTCATTCATTTAGAGCATCTCCCTTTATAATACGTCCTCTTCACTCCCACCCCACACACCCGGCCCAGCCGCGGAGGCCTAGGAGGTTATCGTGCAGTGGCAGGGGTGCATGAGCCTGTGTCTGACGCGTCCCACCTCTCAGGCTAGTCTGTCACCATCCTCGTGACCTTGATCAATGTACTTCACTTCCCTGAGTTATGGCTGCCTGACTTTAACCAGTGTTATTAGTGGCAACCTTCCAGGGTGTTTCTGAGTTTAAGAAATCACGTTTGTAGAGCGCCGCAGGCATGGTAGGCCCTCATCCCCTGTCAGTCTGCTCCCCTCCCTGCTGTTATCACCTTGCCTGTGTTAATATGACCAGAGCTGCGGACGGCTGGTAAAGAAAATCACGTGGAGTGAGAAAGACCCTAAAAAGTTTCAGTTTCAGGTTCAAGCTCCAGGGCTGAAAAGAGAAGTCATTCATATTCTGAAGGCATTAATGAGGTCTTCAAAATCAAGCGAAGAAAAAACTCTACTGTACATTCATCAAAGGTGTGTTGTACCTAGCTGAGGACTTTCTGGAAAAGAAACCAAGGCGTGACTACCCACACTGCCCGCCACTTCAAGCTTGAGGTACGCTACTTTCCAAATCAAAAATTATAATTATAGGCTTGTCTTGCAAGCCTGCAAGGCCTTTCTGCTGAGAAGTTCAGAAACGTTGCTATTCCGGGGACAGCATCTTACGAGGAACAAGCTCACCTGGGCCCCCGGCCCCCGGAGGAGTGGGCCCCCATTTCGCATGGCGAATGTGGAGCCCCAGAGGCACAAAAGCAGCGGTTCGTGGCCTGACTCCTCCCTCCCTCAGCACCTGACATGACTACAGCTCACACACACAGTGCTTTGCTGCTCACAAAAGCCTTTTGGAGATTTTTATCTCCTGTGGAAATTGCAACAATTCTGAAGGGCTGGCTGAGCAAGGAGACAAACATCACGCCTGCTGAACAACTGAAGACAGAATTAGGAGAGACTTCCCCGAAATCACAAAGGCAGAGGCTGCTCTCTGCACCACCTTGGACAGCAGGGTTCAAATGCGGTCTTGGATCGTCCTCCACCTATTTTATCACCCCCATTATACTGGCATCCCCTTGAAGATGTCTGTTTTTGGTGCTATGTTTAACAGAGAAGAATCTTGAGTATAAATCCATGCTTAATACATCATTATTGCCTATTAAAAATAGATTACTCAATAAGTGTATCACATTCGATACTTACTCCTCCAGACCAGCCTGTGAATTAAGCACTATTATTATCCCATTTTACAGGTGAGGAAACTGAGCCTCAGAAAGGGTGAGTGACTCTAATCCAGGTCTCAGGTAAGTAAGGGGCAAATCTGAGACTCAACACTGGATGTGACTCCTCGCTCCTTCCATTCAGTGTGTTTGCTTATTTATGCATTTGCTCAACAAACACTTGGGCACCAAGCCCAAAGAACACGGGGGTGGACAGACGTGTGGGTTCTGGGATTACCGCACCCGCTCGTGCGGCTGTCACTCATCTGATCCAAACACCCCAGTGTAGATTCATCCACACAAAGCAAAACAGATGCCCCTTGTTTCATGCGGCAAGTGCCTTGATGCCCCAAACACCTGTATCTGCTTGGTTTCTGGTCTTTGTGAATATTCCTTACCTTTGTCCTGGATTCCTGGTTCATAAAAAGGGCGTCCCAGCATCTTTGCAGGCAGCTTCTCCGACGACCAGCAGCCTGCCCACAGCTAAGGAGGCTTTGACTGGACAAAGAGGAATGCAGCAAGCTGGAAGTCATGTGGTCTGGGTCCTGTGTTCCTCATGGTTCCACCTAGCATGGGTCGTTGAGCTGGTCATTTGGTTTCCCTTCACCTAGACAGCTTCATTCAGAAAATGAAAAGTTGGATTAAGAACTCTGATGAGACCAAACACAAAGCCTTTTGAAAAACCAAGAATCAATTCTTAATTTGTTCTTTATGGTGGTACTGTAATAACATAAAATGTACCATTTTAACCAGTTTAAGTGTACGATTCAGTGGCATTAAGTATATTCACATTACTATTTGCAGAACATCTTCATCACCCCTAATAGACATTTTGTACCCATTAAACACTAACTCCCCATCCCCACGACCCCAGCCCCAGGTAACCAGGGTTCTGCCTTCTGTCTCTATGAATCTGACTCTGCTAGATACTTCACATAAGTGGAACCACACAGTATTTGCCCTCCTGTGGCTTGTTTCACTTAGCATGACCAAGGGTCACTTTTAAGTGCAAAGATCAGCCCCTCATACAGATCCTGTGTGTTGGAATAGAACTCGAGACGGGATGCAAGTTTTCCCACACCTTATCTCCTTTGTGCCTCCAAACTACCTCCTCTGCACTTAACCAAAGAGGAAAATGAGATTAGGCAAGTGTAAGGAATTTAGCCAAGGCCACCCAGACTGACAGAGCCAGGTCCTCTGTCCGCAGATCTTCTGACTCAAATTCAGGGGTGTTTCTAATTCACTTTTCTTTTTTTCATATCTTTATTGGAGTATAAATGCTTTACAATATTATGTTAGTTTCTGCGATACAACTGAGTGAATCAGTTATATGTATACCTACATCCCCATATCCCCTCCCTCTTGAGGCTAGAAATGGTAATAAACCCAAGTTAACTGGATAAAGCCCCATATACATTAACCACGGACCCTGACATGGTTACTTTAGAGTCTAGTCAAGGGGCTCTGGCAGAGGAAATGCTATTCATCTCAGTGTCAAAAGAAATAGACCCCACCCCTCTCCCTTCACCCACCCACCTGTTATTTCTTCTGAAAACACTGAGATTTGGGACCCACCGCTGACTTCCTGGAAGGCTTGAGCCATCACTGAGGATCCCATATTCAACTTTCCTGACTCTAAATGGGGCCGAATAAAGCTTGCTTCGCCCACGTTTCCAAAGGCCAGTCCACCTGCAAGCGTAAAAGCCATTGGAAATTGTAGGCAGTTCTTACTCAGCAGAGTGTCATGGAAAGAACGTGGACAGTGTCGGAGTCCAGCTGGGCCACACTCAGGTCAGATGACCTCTCTGGGCTTCAGTTTCTACAGACGTCTATTAAGCCCCTTTAGGTGTCAGGCATAATGTTAGATGCAGGGGTGCCAAGGCATAAGGAAGATACACCCACATCCTCCTGGTAGGTCGAAGGGAAGATTCAAGACAAGACAGGGCAAGCACTCAGCACAGCATGTGGCAGCTGGTAAGCACCCGATATCTCATAGCCTTTTCTATAATGTATTCATTCAGCAAGCATTGAGTACCTACCATGGGCTTAAGCAGGGCTTCTTAACCTTGGCGCTATTGACATTTGGGGAGCACAGTCCTTTGCCGCGGGTGGGCAGGGCCACCGTCCCTGGCACTGCAGAATGTTTAGCCACATCCTCTATCCAATAACTGGCAGTGACACCCCAAGTTCTGACACCAAAAATGTTTCCAGACCTTGCTCAGCATCACTGGGGAGCACAACTGCCCCAGTTCAGCAGCTCTGGTTGAATGTTATACCAGGTGCTAGGTATATAGAGAGATGAACGGGACAAGGGCTCCCCCAGGACTCCTGGTCCAGGGACACAGACGTGAGAACCACCTTCCATTAGGCAGGTGCGTGAGCAGGGAGGGCAGCTGACAGTGGGGTAAGGGGCATGTCAGACACGGCGCTTTCACGGGACCAGAGGGCACGGCAGTAAGGAGTGCACTTAGGAGGTGGCCACGGTCTAAGTGAGGGAGGACGTGGCCCTGAGCCAGGCAGTGCTGATGTAGACAGACAGATGGAGACGGGCTGGAGAAAGATCCCGAGGCAGAATGGACAGGAATGAGGGGGCCACAGGCTGGAGGACATTGGAAACCAGCCAAGCGGGACCTGACCAGGCACAAGGGGCAGAGTGGGGCTGCAGCTGTAACTGCACAGTGTCAATGGGGTCTAGACAGCGCTGGGTTTTCACCTCTGTGAACCGGGAGACACTCCCAGGTCCCCCTCCTCTGCCAGCCATGACGCAGAAGCCCAGGTACTTGCACAAAGCTCTCTCCCTCCCACTCTCCTGCCCCTTCCTCTCCCCTCCCTTGTTCCACAAGCTTCTCTAAAAAGGAGAAAAGAGAAAGCCCAAGTTCTTCTTGGGTCCCGGGAGGCTTATGCCTGGGGCCCTCCCTGTTCCACATCCTCCCACCAGGAAGGCTCGCAGATCCTCCTCCAGGTAAAGGGTGTGGGGGGCCGCGGAGCGGGACTCGGTGACTCACATTGAGCAGATAATGAGCTCTGGTGACAAGGGACCTAGCGTCAAAGGGAGCAGTGCCACCTCTCCCAGGACGAGGGCTTGGGCCCACGGGCTCATCCATGGGTTGGAGGCTGAGCGAGTGTGACAGCTTCCCTGGCATCATCCTCTCATCGCACCCCAGCTCCACCGCCCCCGCCCAGGAAGTCTTGCTTTTTTAAATGTGCATTTTGCAGTTAAGACAGTTAGCTGCAGAAGCAGAAGGCTCCCGGAGGCTTGAAACTGGAGGCTCCATCCTTGACTTGGGTTTTCTCACTTTTCCTTTTAAGCCCAAGCTTTAGCTCTGTCTCAGCACTTAAAATATCAAAACATGTTTCCTCTGTCCACTTGATCACTGATCCTTTCAGCTCAGTCAACCCATTCACACCACAGAGCCTGCCTGACCACTAAAATTCAGCCATGAATAACTGCATGGGTTCCAGTAATGACAGCAAGGTGAATAGCGTACCTTCTAAAAGTGGTGTCTTCGTAGATGTGTGGTTTAAACTACCATGTAATTAAGACTGTAACAGTTAAGACTCTGATGATGAAAAGATGATGGACTAAGTAACACAAGAGCATAGACCCTGAGGCAGAGGGAGAATGCAGCCGCGAGATGGCACGTGTTTCACCTGCCCTGAAATATCCCTGTGTAAATAATGAAGCCATGTGGCGGTCAGGGCCCTGGCAGGGAAGTGTGGCACATGCAAGCTGGACGCACAAGGGCTCAACAATGGAACTATGTGCAGGAGGGAAACCAATAAGGGACAGCGCAGAATCTCCGTGCTAGAAGAAACAGAGCCAGTTACCATCCCCCAGATCCAAAGAAGCAAAGAGGGGGAGAAGGTACCAGAATCCCAAGCGTAGCTACGTGGAGAACAATCTCCCAACAGGAGCTGAGGTCCTCAGTAAGAGTGCAAACCTGACAGGGAGAATGGGTGCCCCAGTTCACCAAACTCCCGCCTGAGCTTCCTACTGGCCAAACTCAACCAGGCGTCCAAGGGCAGGTGACCTGTTGAAGGAGTCCATGCAGTCAACCTCCCCCTCTTCCCACCGTGTTTGGTGTCTGCACCTCACTATTTGGCAGTTCATTATGGCAGACAGATGGGGAGGGAAGGGAAAGGGTGGAAGGGGTGGAGAAGGACAGTGAGTCGTCTCCCTCATACTCCAACCAGGTACTTAGGGATGAGGAAATAATTTTAACGTCTTCAGTAGAGACTTCTTGGTGGCCTTCCCAGCATCCAGCTTCCTCTCCCTCTTTTCTGACAGCTCTGAGGAAGCCAACTCCAGTTCCAGGTGTGGAAGATACAAGCTAGGCTAAGCCAATCAGAATATTGCATCCCCTTGGAAACAGGATAGACGTTTGACCTAAGTCTGATTTGGCTACATGACTTTTCCTTGGAATTCTGGGAACTGACAATCCTGCTTTCCTGCTGGTTATAAATAAGGAAGAATGGAAGTCCTCAGATGTGGGGGAACGACTGGAGCCATGAAGAGAGCCAACGTAGGGATGAAGTGGGCACCATCAAAGGCAGAATGGAGAGACAGAATGAGACCAAGTACCTAGTGACATCACTAAGCTATAGAACAGGCCTCTCTGACCTAGCCCCGCCTCTATGCTTTTCATCTCAATAACAATATATTTCCAATCTGAGTTGGATTTTCTCTTAATTACAACCAAAAAAGCTTCAGTTGATCCACACTCCAAGAGTTAAACAAAATAAAAAATATAGAGTAGAAAGAGACAATATATCTACCAAGCCTGTGAGGAAAAATATACTGATAGTAGTTTGGTCATCAATGTTTAAGCATACTACTTCAGTATGCAAAACAGGAAAGAAAGGCCACCTTTGTTGGTCATACCTACCAGTGTCCAGGGCAGAGATACCAACTGCCAGGGACGTGACCATTCTTGTCACTGAAGAGGCAGTTCAGTGACTTGTCTAAGAGCACATGTTTTGGAGCCAAACAGAAGCGGGTCCAAGTCCCCAAATCCTCTGCTTGTGAACAACATGAACCTGGGACAGTGAACTCTAAGGCACTGTGATTCCAGAAATTGACACAAACTAGAAACTCTTGACTCCCAGCCGCACTGCATCTAATGAGGCCCACTGAGGGAAGGATCCGCTAGTGGTTTCATTTTTTTCCCCTCTTTTTTGGATTTCCTTCCCATTAGGGTCACCACAGAGCACTGAGTAGAGTTCCCTGTGCTCTACAGTAGGTTCTCATTAGTCATCTGTTTTATACATAGTATCGATAGTGCATATATGTCAGTCCCAATCTCCCCACCACTAGCGGCTTTACACTCTGCAGGCATATCCCAGATGTAAGAAGCCACAAGCTTCTGGCAGAGGACAATCATATTTCTCACTGAAAAAATATCTCTCTCTTTGTAAATGGGTGTTTTGTTATCCGAATTGATGTATCAGTGTGTGTGTGTGTGTGTGTGTGTGTCTGTTTGTATGTTAGGTTCATGTCAGTCTATCATTAAAATTTTCCTCTGCTGTGTTCAGAAATTCTTTTAATTTAATTTTTAGTTTAAGAACCTACAAAAGACCTTGATGGGGTTAAATCTATGAAAGCAGTTCACCCATGA